ATACTTCCATCAACTAGAGTTGGTTTTATTTATCAAGTTCTGTTTCTAAGGTTTATCTTCTCTTTGAAATCATCCGATAGCCATTTTTGATTACAGAGTATATTTTGTTTTCTAAAATAACATGCATTTCTCATTCTTATATGTTTATTTTAATTAAAATATGCTACTTTAATATTTGAATTTTAAGATGGAATAAATGTAAGTTTAAAGTCCGAACAATGACGTAAGAAAAGATAAAAAAAAAAAGGAACATAAACAGCAAATATTTTTCTAATTTATCCATGGTTACATAACCTTTCTCATAAATTTTAATTAAACATCAGAAGTTAAATTACAAATCTTACTTAAACTCTTTGTTTTAATAAAAAAAATATGTATTTAAACCCATCTCTTCTTAAAGTTATGTAATTAGAACTGTTTTGTTGTTGATTTAGGTCAATAGAAGAAAAGTAGTGTTCTCTTACAAACACATTTCCTTCCAACAAAAAAAGCAAGATTCAGATTCATTGAAATGTGAAAACAGGCGAGAGAAATATCCCTTTTTTAATATTTCATTGGTGTACTTCAAGGGTTGACTATCCCTAAAGGAAGAGGAAAATAACGCTTTTTCATCCGTTTGTTCTTAAATAAAACTAAAAATAAGATAAAACAAAGAACTGAAGGAATTATGAGAAAGAAGCTTTGTAAACTACTGAGGAAATCACTTGTAAAATAGATAAAGAAATAACAGAGCTACATAGTTAAGAAGATTGCAAACTTTAATTACTTAATACTAAAGAAAGATGGTGAATTGTTGCTGTTAGGATAAATTAAACAAGAAGAATATAAGGTTTTATTGTGTACCAACAGCACAAAATATAGAAAAAATATAAAAAGCTTTCAATCTTTCCTTTGTACTTTGTTTTCTTTTACTACAATTAAGAATAAATGTTAGTTGTAAGAAAGACATGAAAGTAGACATTTAATGACAGCGAAAGTAAGTAAAAGAACGAAACACATCTCTAATACAAGAGTCGTTGTTTACTTAAGACAAAAACTGAAAATATGTGAACACTAGAAACTGAAGTTTAGATATATTTTTTTACATTTAAAATGCAGAACTATCCGAAAGTCAGGCACAACTTTAATGATCTTTGACTTTAAATGCATACGATTTTTACAAAGGTACACAGAACGGCAAAGGTTTTTACGCTTCAAGTGAAAAGATCTCAGGCAAACTTCAGATACAATTTCTGCCGTTAGATGGCATTAGCTACTTTCTAAAAAACGCCATTTATTGGCAGAAATTCTACGTGAAATCATAAACAAGACGAAGTTTCATAGAGAACACCAAGGAGTTAGAATAATTCAGAGTGGCCTTCAGTGACCTCTACTATATTATATTAGAAACAACCACCCTCCGGCATAGCGGTTTGATGTAGCAAGCATAATCGGATATTTTGACAAGAAAATGTTTGTTTGTTAAGTTGGCAACGCAATAATTGAGCGATCGCCTAGGGGGGATGCCTTCCGGGAGGTCTTTTTAAGGGAAACTGGTCAGTATTTAGGCTTTACAGACGTGGAGAAAACCCGGAAAACTCCACGTGGCCAGCCCGTCCGAGCGAAGCACGAACCCACGGCCGAACTCCCAATGTTCAGGATACAGTACGAAGACCCAGTGCCGTAACTAGCCATTCCTGTGCCCTATGCAAGAATTTGCATTTAGGCCCCTTAATTAATTAGGTTTGGGAAAATAATAAAACAAATACATGCATTTTAGACCCCCCTTTCAAATGGGCTCTGTGCGGATGCACCTGTTGCACCTGCCTAGTTACGACACTGCGAAGACCGCTTGGCCACTGGTGGGCTTGACAAGAAAAAGATGGGAAAAAAATCTGAATATGTGAATAGGAAGGACTTTTTTGGTTTTTCAGTTTTTCCAGTCAATAAACCTTACTCTCCACATCTTTACTCTCGCACTCCATGCATTAAGATGCAGGGTCGATCCATTCACATTGTCCCTCACTTGAGGTTTCTTGGTGTTGTCTTGGAGCATAAACTGTCTTGAGGTCTCCACAACCATCACATTACTGATAAAACTACTCTTATATTTAATAACTTACAAAGGATTGCTAAAAAAACACTGGGGGCTTAATTATGCTGCTTCAAACTGTATTTACAATGCGGTCTTCATTCCCATTATCTCATATGCTGTAGCTGTCTGGGAAAGCGGTGTCTTTCTCAGTCACAACTATCGCCGTCTTCAATCTGCTCAGCGTAGGGACCTTCTCAGGCTCACAAGAGCATATTCTACTGTCTCGAATTATTCTCTTCAGGTCATCAGTAGGAAAACACCTCTGGATCTTCATTTGAGGCACATTGCTTGTACTTATTATATTAGGAAAGACCACGACATCATTATGAAGTCTACCTCCCATGCTGAAGGATCTATGAGACAGATATACCGTTTACCAACCTCCATCATCCAGCAGTGAGATGTGGGTTTGACACATCCTTTACAGTTGCTGCTGATTATATAATCTTCACAGATGGATCAAAGAATGCAGAGGGCACGGGCTCGGCCTTCGTCGTTTTTGCCAATGAGGAGGAAATATATCAAAATTCTGGCACTCTTCATCCTAACTGTTCTATATTCCAGGCAGAACTCTGTGCCATTTACATGGCTGTTCAATGGTGTGAAGCCAATCTTACTGGAAGTAGAGTTACCATTTTCTCTGATAGTGCTTCAGTAATCACCGCACTTAGGAATCCCAACAACCTTCACCCTTGGTTAGGAAGGTTCTAAACCACATACCTTGTGCTCAGAACTCCTATTCCCTTGAATGGGTGAGAGATCATCAGTGTGTCCTAGGTAATGAACGTGCAGATCTACTTGCCAGGGAGGCTGCAACAATCAGTACCTCTGGCCCTTTCAAGTATTCAGTGCTACCTGCTTCTTTTCTTAAGCTCCAACATTGGAACTACAGCTTGGATCTCTGGCAGCAGAGATAGGATAGCTACAATGGCCTTGCCAGGAACTTTTTTCCATCTATTCACGACCACCTTTTTTACCACTGGGTTAGTCCGGACTTTGAAACCATCCAATTCTTCACTGGGAATGGGAGATTCCGGGCCTACTTACAGAGGTTTGGCAAATCTGCAACGGACATCTGTACCACCTGTAATTGCCGTGATAGGGTTGAGCACTATATATACATGTGTCCAATGACCGAAAATGCTAGGCATGAGCTTACCCTTGCTCTTAACCACAGGGGTATTAATTGGCCTTGTGAACTTCATGTCCTTCTGAAGGATAGTGACACCTACAAAACATTCAAGAAATTGATTCATAAGTATCACATACGCTCCGTCATTCATTAAGTTGGTCAAGTCTGTCATCGGACACTATTTTCAATTGCTCCCTGCACATTATTATACATATCATTATTGTTCTGCTGCAACATATATCTTTGTAATGTTTATTATTACTATTGGTATTGTCTATTTTATACTACTGTACTGTACATGTTATTCTACTCTCAAGTTATGGATCATATCGGTTGATTTGTATTGGTCATCTCACCATCTGTTCATACTTCTTCTCTATTGTCATATTGTTTGTACGTTATCTCTCTGTTATTATGTATGTATTTACCTATGCTTTGATATATTTCTGTATTTAACCCGATTATGCTCTGGCGGTATCGGGAGTAAATAAAGACAAAGATAAAGATAAAGTCAATCAATGTTCTATCTTTTCCCTGTCGTTTGACAGTTTGCTGAAGACTTTGGATCAATTTCGGTGTCACACTTACATCTTATGTGGGCTAAGAGGTGGCTAAGCCCCCAGCTTAGTGTAGCAGTGCCCATATGCAGAATATATAATAACTATGGCTTAGAAGAATAAGGACCAATGTCGAGTGCATTTTCCTTTTATCTTCCAAGCCACAGATATACACTTTCGCTTTCATCGTTTAAAAACTTAACTTTTATACACTTGGACTGTAACTAATAATATTGGCTGTAAAAAAGAAAAAATACCAGTCATTCGTCTCAAAACTTGTTCTTTTTGTGTCGTATTTGTCTTAAGTTAATCTTTTATTATGAGTCCAACCTTGGTCCCTTGTATTATCAGATAATGTTTGTTTGTATATGGCAACCCGACACGTGGGCGATTCACAAAGGGGATGCCTCCCGCGAGGACTTATGAAAAACTGACCCCTAGCTAGGTGTTACAAGAGTGAAGAAATTCCGGAAAATTCCACGTGGCCGGCACGTTGGCCAGGCACGAACTCACGACCAATTACCAGTGTCCAGTGGTATTATCCATCCAGGCACTTGTCGGTATTAGGCCTGCTACATAATGTAAACCTATATCTAATATTAAATTAANAAAATCAAAGTCTCCTGTCTAATGAAAAGTAATTACATTCAAATTTATAGTTTGAAAATTGAAGTATGAACAAATTTTTTGTTCATATTTTGATAGTTGACCAGATGGTTGCACAGTAAGATGTGTTCTCCTAATGCCTTGAGGGATCCTGATTCAAATTTAATCTGAACTCATAAATTTTCATGGAGAGTTCAAATGCAGGTATTATTGCTATCTTTTGTCCATTATGGCTGTCTGATTGCAAGTCGGATCCATCTATAATGAACTGAATTGAGGCATCAGTACATAAGAGCCCAAAAAAAACCTCAAATATACCAACTGGTTCTTTATGGGAAAGAGCCAATCCATTTCAATCATATTTGTTAAATATTATTTTATTTTTGAGTTATATATATATATATATCTGTATAATATATATGTTTAATTTGAATATACAGTCAAACTGTAAGAAATAAATATGATTTATTTGATATTTATGAATTCGTTTTTAACTTATATTTGAATAATGAAATTTATTATATGCAATTAATGAATTACATTTAAGAGAATAATGGGAAAATTTCTAGAGTGATTATATATTAATGATTTTATGAAAATATAAATTTTCTAAGATTGATTTTGATTTCAGGCTGTTGTTACACATCATGTTAAATCCAGGTCTTGTGAACCAAGTCCTGAAGAAATGACCGACTTGGAAGAACTGGAACAATTTGCAAAAACCTTTAAACAGAGAAGGATAAAATTAGGTATGATTTCATATAAAATATCATTCGTACTAGAGTAAAAAAATTAGTTTGAACAGATTGTTTAAATGTTTGTAAAGGTATAAATTATACACGTGTGTGTGTGTGTGCATGTTTGTATATAATTTATACCTTTATGCTGTATTTAGTTGAGACATTTCTAATTTATTCATTGATTAATTCATTTTGAAAATTGAGCGATATAAAATTAGTTTTGATTCTAGTTCTAAAAATTTTTTCCAAACAGTAGATTTAATTTAAAATCAGAATTTTTTTCCCCAAATACATATGAACATCTGTGTAAATATTTTAAACTATATAAATTGCAATTACAAAATTTGTTTANACTATTATAAAATGGAAAAAGTTTAGTTTTGGATGTAGGGACGAGGATTTATAAAAAGTTGTAAATACTGATAACGAGTAAAATCGTCATCAAGTCCTACCCTACACACGACCCCCATTATCTCTCCACCCCGTCGACCTTTAACTTTAAAATTTAATATCGATCTCCCTAATACACAAATTATCCTGCAAAATTTCAGAAATTTTCGACGAAAAGCACAGGAGTTATTAAGCTTCAAACAGGGTGAACAAAATCGTACTCCCCCCACACACTAACATTTATACATAGAAAAAACTCCGAAGGTTTTTTTTTACATTTCTTGACGTTTCAAGGTATGCTAAGTCTAAAAATGTAGAAATCTTGGGGGTCATTTTTTTACCGATAGTCATACTTTTCTTCTGTTAAAACAATAGGAAAAAATCACTCTTTATACCTTCATATAATACAAATTCCTTCCTATTTATTTACATTTTAGTGGCTGAAGACATACAGAAAGGTCTTATTGCTGTTAACATCTTTCTAAAAATCTTTTTTATTGCTTCTTTTCACAAATTACCTTTTTTTTTTTTTTGCTACAAACAATTTTGCCAATACTTTTTATGGATTCTTTCATTACTTGGTGAATCTAGACGAGTGACAAACGAATAAAATTTGTAAAAATGTTTTAATTTTGTAAAAATCCTACAAGAAAAAACAATTTTCGATTAAAACAGGATAAAAAAAGAGGAAAATTATTCTAAAATAGAAAGAAGATCGAAGAAAACGAGACGTAATGCTCTAATTTAACACATGACTAGACAATTTCCTATTTCTTAGTGTGGAAAACTCTCTTTAGAAAAAATACATCATAAAATCCAGAGATTACGTTGAATTTTCGCATTTTAAAACGTGAAAAAATTAAGAAAATCGCTAATGATTTACATTGTCTTATAGTTTATCAAATATTAAGCCACTCAAACCTCTGGTTACATAATTAAATGGGAAAAATAGGTTGATTAGTGTATTAATTAATTACTGTTCCACATCCGTCTTAATTCTTCCGCTTTTCGGAAATTAATGATCTGTCCTAAATTTTTAACGTTTTGTACAAGATGCACGAATAGGAAATTAATTTGTCTATTTTACATCCTCAATAAATTATGTTAAAATGTTTTATTTTCGGTCAACCGGTAGTTCGCGACTCACGGAGCGAGGAATCGTATTTCTGCATCATGTAGGATATCGGTAATAAAAGATCAAGAAACATACTTTTTGGCATGTTTTAAATCGTGCGAATCTATCCGAAAATACAATTGAATGGTGGATCCATTAGGCAAACCACACTGAACAATAGAGGACTCATTAGAATAATAACGAGCAGTACGTATAAACTGTGTTCGAGAATACAAGCTGGTTCCTCATAGCGCATGGTCTTACAGTTTGTTCAACTTATACGTAAATCCGGCTTTTCGTGGAAACACGCAATTTACACGGTATTCTGCCATTTTGAATGAAAATCTGTATTATATTGCACGTAAAGTGTTACTTCTATCGGTGCCATACATCTACATGATAAGAGAAAGAGAGAAAAGAGAAGAGGCAGAGAGAGAAGAGAAAAGAAGCAGAAAAGAGAACGGTGATTAATAACATAATTATTATTCATATTAAAAAATAAAATCCAATTAAAGATAAAAAAATTATAAAATACCAATTAAATACTGATAACTGTAATTAGTAGAAGCTAACAATCATCCGATTTCTTATTTTAGAAAATTGTTTTTTTTTTTTTAAATTCAGATTATTAAAACAGAAAGGAAATGAAAAAAACGAATGGATAATTATACGCTGTAAAGAAGAAAAACAAATACCCTCTGCTAATTATAATATATTGAAGTAATGTTGGAGATGTTATGTTAGTAAGTAGTGGGACAATAAGCTAACTGATTTCGGAATATCGATGATGAATAATGATGATTTATTAAAAGTATACGTGGGAGGATACAAATCTAAGTACAGTATTCTTTATTTCTTCAATTAATTTAATACCAGATTTAAAAATTGATGATGTTTGAATGGCTGTTTTAGGATCGAGACACTTTACCCATAAAATACATTTTAACATTTGAAGCAATAAAAATTATTTATCAAGGAAGAAGAAATTATTTTTTTTACCCCGAGCAAAGTCTTAAGCCTTTTCCGTTAGGTTTCGCTCATAGTAATGTTATTAAGACGTCGGCATATCTCTCTGGAGGAACCAGGATCGAATCCAGAGCGATCAACTAGCGTGACGCGGATATGTGGCATTTTTTTTATGAATCGTACCCCTTCAAATTTTCGCTTCATACTGACTTCATCAGCATTCTCCTCTAGCACCTGTAAGTGCTAGAGGAGAATGCTGATGAAGTCAATATGAAGCGGAAAATTGAATACCCACCGTGCGGATTGGACGAGTTTTCTTTCGTGCTAAAGATGACGGTTTCGTAAAAATGCAACCTTTATGAAACACCACAGCGAAAATGTTGTGGGGTCTCATAAAGGGCCAAGTTTTCTTTCGGCAATCGTTATCTTTCGAACAATTGCAAATTATACTCAATGGAACCAAAATGGCGGCTTTTAATTTTGGCATTCGGTCCATATAACCTGTAACTTTCTTGTATTTATTTTAATGCAGGATTAATGATACACAAACCAAATTATTGCATTTAATTACAATTAATTACTAATTTGTCATTATCGAGAATCAGCAAAATTGGTATTGAGGACGAAGAGAAATCTTCAAATTCTTTTAGAGTGTTTCGTAGAGAAATTTTTATTACAGTAGACCCCTCTATAACGCGGGTTCCTATAACGGAGATTCCTATAACGTGGCGAAAAAATTGCGACAGTATTCGTATAAAGACGCTAAAAGGAACTCGTAAAACGTCGTCGCCGACTCGTGTCGCGACAGGATTGGTCGAATCTGGATCAATAGTAGACAAGCAGCCGAACTACTTACACGCTACAGAGAGTTTAGGCGAGTAAGTTGAGTTTACTATCGTCTGTACAGTATTATATATAAATTAGGTACTGTATATATAATTATATATTAACTTAATTTATTTTAACTTTATTATAATTATATACAGTAGAGCATCGATTATCCGACTCAATTGGGGACTGCGGTTGGACGGATAATTGAAAAGTCGGATAACCGAAAAGTATGAAAAAACCCATTATTAGTGTAGTATATTATTATATCCCATGTAATTAGTATATTAGTATATCGCTATTAACCTATTTCGTGTTGAATTTTCATCAATGTTAAGCCTAACAAAAATTTTTTTTAAATAATAATTGTCACTATTGTATCGTTAAAAATTAGAAAATTAAGCCTCGTTTAAATACTGGCTCCCTTTCATGGTCGAGCCATTGCTGCCAGCTAAAACATGTAAAAATAATATTAAAGTGGCCAAGACATAGCCAAATATTGTAGCGCCACATTACTAGCGGACATTTGAATTTGCCGACTAGAACGCGGTCGGTTAACTGAGGTGACGGTTAATCGGGGGTCGGATCACCGATGCTCTACTGTATATACTTTCCGCCGTCCAGCGCCACGCTACGGAGAGTTTAGGCGAGTAAGTTGAGTTTACTATCGTTTGTACAGCATGTAAATTAGGTACCGTAAGTCTAATACAGTACTGTAATTTTATACATTTCTTGTGAAAAAACACTTCTTATTCAACGGCCATAAAAATTATTTATATCAATGATGTCTCCAAAGGTCAACGAATTTTTCGCAGAAAAATAACTTATCAGAAATCGCGGCAGTCGTTTGGTGCGCTACTCCGCGACGAAAACAAGCTTAAGCAATGGCGACGTCGAACGGTGCACACTCGAAAAGTAATCCTACATTTTTCTGTTTATAGCATAATTTATACGGATTATTCCCAAGAAATTATACGTATTTTGGAAATATTGAGTCGAATTAGTCTAGAATCGATTAATTTTATGGAAGAAAACCTTTCAAACAGCCGTAGTTCGTAAACTTCACACGTGTCGGACTGCGATTGGCTCATGTATTTAAGGATTCCTACAACGTGAAATTCGTATAACGTGGAACGTATCTACGCGTTATAGGGGGTCTACTGTATTTAAAATTTTATATTATTTTTCCGAAATGTACATAATTATATGTAAAATTTCCTATATTTGTACTTTATTCTATTACGTAAAACATGTTTATTGTAGATATGTTTACATAATTCTTCTTAAAAACCTTTTAAATAATGTAAATATTTTAAAATTTATATGGTAATTTATTTTAAAATATTTTAAAATTATATATGGTAATTTATTTTGGTAATTTTATATATGCTGTTTTGCATCTATTTACCGGAAAATTTAGATAATTAGTATTTATTCATAACACGCTATGAACAAAAAAATAAAAAAACAAATTAAAATATAACGATTTCTTCAATCTTCGATTATGCAAATTTGCTTTCTTTCGACAATTTACTTGACTCGCTGTTTTATTTATTTTAATTGTATTATATAACTATAGAACAGCACAATTTTTCAGTGTAACCATAAATGATGCCTTCTTTATGAAGAGTTTTTTTTTTTTTTTTTTTGGATATCGACTCGGACCCTTCTGCTTCCATTCCATACGTAAGAGGTGAGTTTTCATATAAATTTAACTATATTTAAGACATATGTTGCTTATTAAATAATTTTCCTTCTCATTTTTTTACGTCTATTTTTGTTCAAATAAATTTATTATATCTTCCTCGTTTCGTCTGTTTTATTTATTTTAATTTATCGAAATTCAGGTAAGTTTAAACTTTCCTTTAAAGTTTTTTCCTGGTTGTG